TGTCTTGGTCTCCCCATATCTCTTACCTCCGTGTTGAGTGCTCTAAGGCCCTTGCCCTCCTTCGGGTCTTGTCCCATACTTCTTGGGGGGCAGATAGGCGCACTCTCCTTGCTTTACATTCCTCTCTCGTCCTGTCTAAGCTCGATTATGGTTGCCCTGCTTACTTGTCTGCTTCTCCTTCTACTCTTCGCCGTCTTGATGCTTTGCACCATACTGGGTTGCGCCTCAGTTCTGGTGCCTTTCGTTCGACTCCCATCCTTAGCTTGTATGTTGACACTGGCTTCCTGTCTCTCCAGGACCACCGTGATCGCTACTGTCTTCGCTATCTTGCGCGGTCCTTGCAACATCCTTCCTCTCGCCTCTGTCGTGCTTTAACTTTTACCCCTCCTGCGGTTCCTGTTCCTCTTCACCACCTCCCTCTTTCTGTCCGGTTATCTCGCCTACAGGATTCTCTTTCCGTTCGTATTTCTGATGTTTCCCCTCGTGTTGTTCCTTCTTTGCCCCCGTGGAGGGTCCCTCTTCTGCGGTTTTGTACATCCTTGACCCGTATCACTAAAGCTTTTACCCCTCCTACGGTTCTAAAACGCCTTTTCCTCGAGCACTTTTCCTCTCACTCCCGCTCCGTTTCTGTCTTCACCGATGGGTCTAAGTCAGCGGACGGTGTTGGCTACTCTGTTGTTTTTCCTGATCGCACTTATATGTGTCGCTTGCCTCCGGAGACTAGCATCTTTACAGCGGAACTTTATGCTATTCTCTATGCTCTTCGTCTCCTGCTTTCTCGTTGTCAGTCTTCCTTTGTAGTTGTTGTTGACTCTCGTAGTGCCCTCATGGCTCTCGGGTCCTTTAATCCGGTTCATCCAGTGGTTGTCGAGATCCAGCATTGGCTGTTTCTCGTTCACAGTAAATTTAAGTCGGTTGAGTTTTGTTGGGTTCCCAGCCATATTGGTGTGTCTTTAAATGAGCGCGCGAATGCTGCCACCAAGGAAGCTGTCCGCTCTTGTCCCATCTCTCATAAAGGCATTCCGTATTCCGACTTTTACCCGGTTATCCATTCCTCAGTCCTTACCCGTTGGCAGGCTTCTTGGTTGTCTGTTACTGGTAACAAGCTACGTACTCTTAAATGTTGTGTTTCCTCGTGGCCGTCCTCCTTCCACCGTAACCGGTGGTGGGAAACAGCTCTGGCGAGGTTGCGTATTGGCCATACTCGCTTAACCCATGGTCACTTGATGGAGCGCTGCCCTGCTCCTTATTGTCCTAGTTGCATTGTCCCTCTTACGGTCGTGCATGTCCTTCTTGAATGTCCTGACTTCCAGGACGAGCGTGTGTCTTAATTGCTTTCCGACCGCCCCTCGCGGTCACCTGTCCCTCGATAGAATTCTTGGTGACTCGGATACTTTTGATATCGTTCGCCTTATGCGTTTTTGTTCTCGTATTGGCATCCTTGGTGATATTTAGCGCCCTCTGATTATTTTGCGTATTTGATGGTGCTACATAGCCTTCCCGGTTTGGTGCCTTCTTTTGATAATTACTTACTTTATATATATCTATGGTAAAGTATTTAAAATGAAGCTTATATATTTCTATCTTTCTCAACACATATAAAAACATTTGCGTTTATTAACGAATTTACGTGAAATAAGCATTGTTCTGAGAGAGAGTTACTCCGTTGCTCGATCTGTGCGGGATCGGAGCTCGCCGATTAGAAAAATACACGTATCTTCGCTTTAAATACAAATATGCCCATGGTAAGGCATTTAAAATGAAGATTATGTTTCTATCTTTCTTGAGACGTATAAAAATCTTACGTTTATTAACGATTCTGCGTGAAATAAGCATTGTTCTGAGATGAATATTGCGGATTTCCGGCTCTACGACCGATGAAAAATGCAACTTTTATACAACTACAAATATCTTTAGTTTTACTTTAAATTTTGTCCTGAAAGAGTTTTCATATATAGATCCAGTTTCTGCCGTTCTTCTGACATAAAAAGACCTTTGGTTTAATAAGTTATTAAGATGTTTTCAACAATATTACTAGGGCGTTCACCGATTCTAACATGGGCGACCCTTTTGGAAACGCAACACATGGGTTGACCTGATTGATATATGGGTCAGATTCCATTAAGGTTCGGAACATTACTACTGCTCGGCTTAGACTCGGTTACAAGTATCTCTGGGAATTCTCATTATCTGCCGATGTAGATCTGACCAAATGTAAACTGTGACAACAAAATTATTCATACACCCTCCGTCACTATGTGATGGTGTGCGAAATGATACGTGAATTTAGAGACAATACTATAACCAATGTACCAACGATGTGTCAATATTTCATTCAAAATTATCTGCTACCAGAAATTTTAGCCAAATATCCCTAGTTTGCTAACTGTAGGTAGTAACTGAGTGATTGTAACCTATCCACCGCTGCCCACTGGATGGGGGGGCCGTGTGCAGGACAAACATATCAATTGTGACACTAGCTCTCCACATATGTCAGTTGCTTAATTTAGAAGTTGTACTTGTGGTCGATCTCGAACCCATTGTTGATGTGACGACTTATATTGAATTTTGTAACTAGCTCATCAAGATTGTAACTTGCTTAGCTAAATGAATTGTGGGGTTCAGTCCCTGAGCCCATTATGTGCCTCTGTAACCCTTTCCACTACCGCCCACAAGAAGGGGTGCATAATAAATGAACTAAACTAACTAAAAACCTTCTTGTATGTATATGTATGTATAAATAAATATATAAACAGACAAGAGGAGCCTTACCGTCAGCGCTGAGGGAATGTAAACACTGAGGTCTGCCTGGCCGCCCCATTCACCCCTCCGAGGGCCTGCGTCAGCGGCTTCGTTCTTTGACGTTTGTCCGTATTGTGTGATCAAACACGGTGATAATATTTTTGTATTTTGTTATTTTGTATTTAAGTACGAATAGGGTGTGATTAGGTTATGTGTTTAGGTTCTGTTGGCAGTTATTTGTATTTGCAGTACATGGATGAAGCTTTTATAGAGGTTCAATTACAACACAGGAAGTGAGCTCAGCATTGTTGGAGAAACGTTTGCACGAACATCTTAATTCATATCTAATTCACTTTATTTATAATTACATATTCTGTAATTCATTTATACATAATTCATTCAATAATTCATTTTTATTGAATTCATAATTTTCCCGCTGTAATTTTGTTAGGCAGCCCGTCGGGTTGGAAAGTCCATTCCATTTAGCGGTCGACCCCAAAGACGCATTCATCAAATTTTAACCTTCTGTTCATTCAAAATAGGAAGTTTTCTAAATATAAATTAATATTGTTATATATTACCTTATTGCACATATTTAGACAATGGTTAGGTTAGGTTAGATGTTTAGGTTCTGTTGGCGCTTGTATTTGTAGTACGTGGGTGAAGCATATACTCGCTTCGGCATTATATATACTAACATTTCAACCCGTCCTCACACACGGGAGACATTTCCCGTCACGCACTGGTAATGGCTCAAAAGGGCCACCACTTACGGGCTATTCATGCCCGTGCCACCTGTTGGGTGGCTTAATCTTCATCAATCATCAACCGTCCTCACACTAGGCTGTTTAAAGCAGCGGCCGTCCTCCCCAGACACATTCATCAATTTCATTAATATTGTGTATTAAAAATGGGCTTGTTCTCATACATACATACATAAAAATCTTATGTATAGTTAGGCGTAGGTTAGGTGTTTAGGTTCTGTTGACAATTATTTGTATTTTGAAGTACGTGGGTGTAGCATTTATAGAATATTGTGGTTCGAACAGATATAGCAAGTTGTTTAACACAGAAGGGAAATCAAACCACTCGTAAAGCATTGACCTTACGATATTATAGGCTATTAAGCGGTTTGTTGCATCTGAAACATTTGAAATATCAATATATCCAAGATTCACAGTTCCACGATAGATAAAAAATACAACATGAAAAATATCACACGTAACACATTTAGTTAAGTTGGATGTATAACGAAAACACTGAGGAATAATCTCTTAGACATCACAGAAGTATAGAAACAGCTCCGCCCTGCCCACTGCTGGCCTAGCACAAGCTACAAGTATTTAAAACAATACTTGGAAGCCTTTACAGGTTTACGTAAGTTACATAGTTACATACATACATATATATGTATATGTATATATATATATATATATATATATATATATATATATATATATATATATATATATATATATATATATACACAACCATATTCAGGAACACATGTGGACACTACCACATCTTTATATTGTGCATTAAAAATAATTGAAGGCAACTGCAATGTTGCAGGCTAGTCACAGCACTACGCCTGGCTCTGCCGCCAGCTCTAGAACCTATACACATGAACATCTGACCAAACACGAAGTCCGCCTGCACTCACATATATTTATATCCAGGCAGGAAGATTTTGGCCAACTGTTCGTTTGTCAAAATAAAAATCTAGGATTGGAAAAAACTATACATTCAAGTGAACATTGATATAATAGATACTGCCAAGCCTACTCATGCTACAGGCAGGTTTAATAAATAACCATGCTACAGGCAGGTTTAATAAATAACCAGTGGTTATTTATTAAACCTGCCTGTAGCATGGGTTATTAACCACAATGGTCAATTGTTCATTTGACACACTGAATGGTTCTACAGTCATTTACAAACTGGAAACCACTCATAAATCACAGACGGCATTTACACCCAGGGGGTCCCAGGTGGCATTACAAATCTCAAAGGCCACATATAGCATGGGCTCAGTGAGAGAGAGAGAGAGAGAGAGAGAGAGAGAGAGAGAGAGAGAGAGAGAGAGAGAGAGAGAGAGAGAGAGAGAGAGAGAGAGAGAGAGAGAGAGAGAGAGAGAGAGAGAGAGAGAGAGAGAGAGAGAGAGAGAGAGAGAGAGAGAGAGAGAGAGAGAGAGAGAGAGAGAGAGAGAGAGAGAGAGAGAGAGAGAGAGAGAGAGAGAGAGAGAGAGAGAGAGAGAGAGAGAGAGAGAGAGAGAGAGAGAGAGAGAGAGAGAGAGAGAGAGAGAGAGAGAGAGAGAGAGAGAGAGAAAGAGAGCTCAATTACTGTGACTTTCCCTAGCCAGTGTAGGGTGGAAGCTACAATAAGAGTACTAGAGCCACCAGTCGCAGAGAGGGTGCTCTCTCTCCATGGTTGGTGAGGGTCAAGTCAGGAGAAGGGGCGGCCGGGAACGCCAGACTCTTGAGAGCTCCCGTACTGGCCTTGGTTTTGTGATAAACGCGGCGAACTCCCACCAGATCTCTTCCCTCTCGCCCCCTTCCCCCACGAGTCACTATAAACATTATTTAGAGTTGGTGGGGGATGGGGGTTGTTGGTGTGGCACTAGGGTACTGACGGGTGGAGGAAGGGCGCCACCCTGCCCAGGCCAAACGGGGTGGTGGGGAGGGAGGGGTTGTAGGTGCTGGTCTGCAGGAGGGAGTAGGCCGCCAGGTACGGCAGGTTGGCCGGGTCCCACTCCATGCTGGGGGGGAAAGTCGGGTGTCTCAGCGGCGTTAGTGGCTGGGGACGCAGCGGCTGGTGCTGTTGCTGGTGCAGCGGTATGAGCGCCGGCAGCGACCTCATCCTCACCTCCGGAGAACCACTAGTGGGCATCCGGCGGTAGTTTACCTGCTGCAGGTCGTTGGAGGCCAGGCTCATGCCCGTGTCCATGGGGTTCGCACCCCAGAAGCGGTGGTTGTAGTACAAGTCCTCGTTGGTGAGAGTGAAGCGCGTCTTCTTGGTGGGCGCCGTGCGGGGCAGGCCGCCCTCCACCAGTGACGGCACGAAGGGAGGGTCGTGGTGCGTCACCAGCTCCATCCTACTGACGGAGTCGTAGGCACAGATGCTCTCCACGTTCCTCATGGCCTCATCCCGCACCATCAGGTTGTTGTTACTCCGAACAAAGTCAAAGTTCCTAAAGAGGCTCGCCTCACTGAAAAGTCTTGGTCTTCTGCTGTCCATCTCCTGCCTCTCCCTCTTTAGGTTCCTCCAGGTTGCCGTGGCGTTGTCTAGGGAGGCCTGGTAGTCCGCGGCATCCAGAAGAGAGGTGTCGGAGTGGAGTCCTGGCCCCAGAGGCGCCGGCATCCTGGGATCCGACGCCACCAGGGGCTTGGCGAGGCGCGGCAATGGCAGACTATTTTCCAACACTTCCTGCGGAAAGAAAGAGCAAACTATACATCTAGGATCATGACAAAGCCCGCCAAATGTTACAAACACAATTGACCAATAAGAGAAAGGAAACATAAATGTCTTCTGAAGGCATCTTTTGTTTATCTGCTTTCAGATTTTCAGTGATATAGTTTTGTGTATCCATTTGCATTCCATCATTTCCATTTTATTTTCACTAAGAGTGCAAATCCCCCTCCCTATATTTCTTTCCTTGTTTATTATTTCCTGGCCTCCAGGAAATACTGCATCCAAAACCATATAATTGACCTTGGTGTCCACTGTTGCAAGCAATCAGATTATATTTCTGTAACTTTTTAATTTCCTCTACTTTAATGAACAAATCCACAAGGGCCGTGACGAGGATTCGATAATCGACTGAGCTACGACATGGTTAAAAAAGAGTTGAAACCGATTTATTGTGATTTCTGTGTGTAGTGTGTTCCTCAACTTTGTTTGTAACCACATTGGAATACAATGTGTGATTAATAAAGCAAACTGTCACTAGAGTTCTCCTTTTCATTTGTTTCTACTGGTGCAGCTGCAAATGGACAAAGGTGGGCTGGACCGAGTTTCAAAAGGACTGAATTCCTGGAACTCCATCCATCACGAGGAACTGTGACTGGAAGAATCGATCATTTTTCCAGTCAGGACCGAAATGGGACCCGATAGCCCATTTTGAAGCATTTCCAGATGGTCCGACATTCCTGGGGTCCTTTCTGTTTAATTTAGAAAAGCAAGGAGTGGTCTGTGTGTTAAACTGATTCTTCACAACTACAAAATGTTCATATTTCTCATTTAATATAGGAATAAATTTTGCACCAAGTATTTTAAATGTGTCACTTGTATACAATCTCTGCATAAATTTTATGATTTGGAATTCTAGTTTACCATAATTAAATATTAATGATTTCAGGTGTCTTCAACTGAATATTTTATTTAAATTAAATGTTAATGCTTTTTGCTGTTTTCGATTGCATATTTAATTTTAAATTATGTATTCCACTTACATTTGATACAAGGACCGAGTGGGTCCTTGTATCCTGTTATTGAAAATATCACAGGCACTAACAACAACTATTACAACCACAAACACTAACAACAACTATTACAACCACAAACACTAACAACAACTATTACAACCACAAACACTAACAACAACTATTACAACCACAAACACTAACAACAACTATTACAACCACAAACACTAACAACAACTATTACAACCACAAACACTAACAACAACTATTACAACCACAAACACTAACAACAACTATTACAACCACAAACACTAACAACAACTATTACAATCACAAACACTAACAACAACTATTACAATCACAAACACTAACAACAACTACCACAACCACAAGCACTAATACCTACCACAACCACAAGCACTAATACCTACCACAATCACAAGCACTAATACCTACCACAACCACAAGCACTAATACCTACCACAACCACAAGCACTAATACCTACCACAACCACAAGCACTAATACCTACCACAACCACAAGCACCATCACCAACTACCACAAGCACCAACCACCACAAGGTACCACAAGCACTAACAACAACTCCCACTACCAATAAGCACTAACAAACCACTACAACAACCACAAGCACTACCAAACCACTACAACTACCACAATCACAAACCAGAGGAGGTGGTTCCCTCAGGTGGTTCCTGGCGTCCGGACTGCTGGTAGTCAAGGTGTCAGGTGAACAGCTGATGGGCGAGTAGGTACTGCAGGCTGGTGGGGCTTCTGGTGTGGGCGGCGGCGGGAGGGCGGTCATGGGCGTGGGCTTCGTGGTGGTGGTGGTGGGCGTGACTCTGACGACGGGCGGGCCATCGTTGGAGAGCTGAGCGAGTTCGGCCGTCGTCTGCATCACGTAGTCGTAGGCTTCGTTCCGTTGTTGGCTCGTTACCTGGGACCTGTGTGACGCAAGGGGTGGTTAGTGTGACGCAAGGGGTGGTTAGTGAGGTGTAGGGGTAGTTAGTATGACGCTAAGGAGCCGATGATAAAATAGAATAAAACTACTCCTACTAAAATTTCCACCACCTCTACTACTAACGCTAGCGGAGCGAACACTGGAGTCGCCTGGTAATGTGCTTAAATATGGAGAAGGGGCTCAACGTCAGAGAAGGGGCTCAATTGGAGAAGGGGCTCAATTGGGGATTCAGCTCAGAACTGGCCTATTGTCATGAGTACACACACACTAACTGAGCCACTATGACTTATCCTCTCTCTTTCTCTTAGTCTTAGGGCGACCTTCTAGTTCCCCCTTTTTGTTTTCTGCATGTTGTCGTCCGTCCTTCAATTATTTCTCTTTCTTACCTCTAAGAAATCCTCACCAGGACAAGGGCAAACACGATCAATTAACTGACAAACATTTATTACAAACAGCAAAGGATACAAATAATAGCATGGTATCATCAAGAATTGGTCCTACAGACTAGCTTCAGTAGTAGGCATCCGTCAGTCCCGCGGGGTTATGGAGTTTTGGCCATAACCTGTCATGGGTGTCTGGTTGGGTGCAACGTCTGCTGTGGCTACGTGGTGCTAAAAATCCCCATCACACAGGATGGTTAGTCATTCACATGCCTCTGTATGACTAACTATCCTGTGTGATGGGGATTTTTAGCACCACGTAGCTAGCTTTTTGACACACTGTACTTCCCTTCATATAGTCTAGGGCAGATGTACCTAAATGTGTTAATAAAAAAATATGTGGCTGTGAAGTCCAACCCGAGAACGACAGTCCCGACCGCAGCGAGTGCAGATAAACGCCGAAGCGGTTGTGTCTGTCAGTGGTCGAGACTTCCTCTTACGTCTCTTTTCCTCCGCCTGCCTCTTCAGTTCGCCCTCGAATTGCTAAATTCCCTTCTGCACACATCTCTTATGACGAGATGCCTCCAGCATCTCCAGGCAGATCTGTCCGCAGCTCCTGCCTCCCGTGTGTTGATGTCGATGTTCAGCTGTTTGCAGGCATCTTTGAAAGGGATCTGGGGTCTTCTGGTGTGCCTCTTTCCAGATGCCAGTTTTCTATATAAGAGGTCCTTCGGTATGCGGCCATCTTCCATGCGTGTGACATGTCACAGCCACCGCATGCGTCTCTGCTTCAGGAGAGTGAACATTGAAGGAATTAGTGCTCTCTTGAGCAATGCGTTGTTGGTGAAGTAGTCTCTGCACGTGATGTCAAGGATGCGTCTCAGGTTCCGCATGTGAAAGGTATTGAGCCATCTCTCCTAGCGACATCACAGGATCCAGGATTCCGAGCCTGTACTCACCTGTCATGTAGAACTGTGCCTTGGTGTGCACTGTCAGTTTAACATTTGCCTAAACGCACTTTGTGAGCCTGGCCAGTGTTGTTGTGGAGATACGCCTGTTGAGCTCAGTGTCCAGGAAAAGGGTGTCTGAGAGTGTGGAGCCCAGGTACACAAACTCGTGAACTGCCTCTAGCGGGCAGTCTGTGATGTTTATACAAGGTAACTCATTGACGTCTTGTCCCATCACCTGTGTCTTCCTCAGGCTGATTGTCAGGCCGAATGTGGAGCAGGCTGCGGCAAATCGGTTCTTTCTGGAGTAGAGTTCGGAGTAATGTTCCACCCAGCGATTCATCTGTTGATCACGGTCTTTAATGATCTCTCCGGTGCCTGACTCCAGAGGAGCTGTCCTGTTTTGTGAAGGGCGTGTTGCCTGTTTGTTCCCTTCGTACATGCCTCTTATGTTGCCGATAGTGGCCGCGGTCTGGATGCTGGAATAGAGTCGGAGCCAGTAGTCATTTGCATAGTGCCTTGCAGCTGGTTGAACTCTACTGTGGGCAGTACGGAGGGCCTGTAGGTTCCTTTCTGGGGGCAGGTTCTTTTAGGCTGAGAGAGCTCGACTTTTTTCCTCTACGACGGGTAACAGTTCCTCTGCACTGGCTTCGAACCAGTCTGCTGACTTGTTCTGCCTCTTACCGAAGGTGGACATGGCAGTGTTGAAAATGGTGCCCCCTGAGGTGTGACCACTTTCTTCTTGCGCCATCGCAGGGTGGTCCAGGAAGGGCGTTTTCCAACGCAGCAGTGAACTCCAGTGAATGATGAGTTCCGGTTCACTGTAGTAATGAAGTCAGTTTCAATACTAATGATTAACGAGGAGAGAAATGCTATTTCTGTGGTGCTCTAATTTCATAAATTCCATGCTTATATGTTTCTAATTTAGATTTGAAATAAACTTTTCTATAAGTGACCATTCATTAAAATATGGAATCATCTAATATAATAAATGGCTAGTGTGAAAGATTAGTGTGTATCTCCAGTTCTCAAAATGGCAAAGAAATTCATTAACATACGAAAGCCCCAATAACTAGAGATTACCAGCACGAGAAAATGCAATCCATAGTTGCCAGTTAATTCCAGCTTAATTCAGCTTTACATGAATTTCTCTACATGAACTGGCTTTTAATGAGTAAGGATTCAACATCTACCAGCTTACTAAACATCACATTACCGATTTCACTAACAACTTTAGGATTTATTTTTTTTTAAATTCCTAGTCGAAGAAGTGATAAACTGTAATCCAAATTTAGGTAATTTATCATTTCAGGTTCCAATGGAAATCTTTTAGGTTTAATACGAAATCCTTGTTTATGGATCTTGGAAACCAGCTGCATGTAGTTCAGCATTAATCTAATCTCTTATTGGAGTTTAATACTTATTCTTCTTTAATATATATATATATATATATATATATATATATATATATATATATATATATATATATATATATATATATATGTATATATATATTCAACCTTAAAGCGGTACTACCTCTGGTGCACGTGTAGGGACCCCCATAGCCTCGGAGAAGAAAATGAAGAGTACTCAGAGAAGACCTTGTGGATCCTCACTTTGATATTTTCTTCTCCTACCACCCCTATATATATTTATATGTGTGTATATGTGTGTGTGTGTGTGTGTGTGACCTATCTCAGAAGTGAACCTTTGCTCTTTTGTAATAGGTAAAGGGATGGTTACTTCCTCATGCCCAACCTTACCAGTACACCTTCCCCCTGGCCACCAGACGCAGCCAGTAGTATTCCATCCCCGGTGGCTAGGGTATATACTGCCAAGTGTAAGTGTGGGAATATTGGTTCCTGTACCATAGTACGAGCGGACAGCACACTGGACTTGTGATCCTGTGGTCCTTTGTTCGATCCCAGGCGCCGGCGAGAAACAATGGGCAGTTTCTTTCACCCTATGCCCCTGTTACCTAGCAGTAAAAATAGGTACCTGGGTGTTAGTCAGCTGTCACGGGCTGCTTCCTGGGGGTGGAGGCCTGGTCGAGGACCGGGCCGCGGGGACACTAAAAAAAAGCCCCGAAATCGTCTCAAGATAACCTCAAGATAACCATAATGGGTGAATGCGAAGAATTACGAAGACACGTAAAGGAAAATATACCCGAGTGCTTTCGTGTTCTTCAATACACCTGAAGATGTGTACGTTCACCTGGTAAGGAGATCCATTCACCTGGCGAGGAGTACTTTCACATGGTGAGATGTACTTTCGCCTAGTGACTGCTACTTTCGCCTGGTGAAGAGGTACTGTCTTACCTTCTGACTCGCTGCTGGTGTCTCATTATGTCTCGCCGCTTCTTGGTAAGTCCACAGAGTGCGCAGACGCAGGTCTGGTAGGGGCAGGCGTTCTTGTGGGCGCGCTTCTCCACCATCACCCCGTGGTTCCGACACATGTCGCACTTCTGCCGGAAGGGGGAAAGTTGCTTTACTGTCCTAGGCACTTACAGCCCTGCTCCTGCGCCAGGTATGTCCACTACGGGCTCACCATAGCCTGTGCTACTTGCAACTTTGTGTTCCGAGTAGATGAATCTACAACAACAACATTTACTGTCCTGATTAGAATGGTGGTTAGTTAGTTGCATGGTTAGTGGCGTGGTTAATACCGTGATTAGTTGTGTTAATTGTCCAATGATCGACCATTGGTGCGGTGGTCACGGTACTGTGCACGTTTAGGGGTGATCCTGGACGGCGTGGGTTCGAATCCTGACCGGGTCAAATAGAGTTTTATTGATATATATAATAAAAGCTAAATAAAAATTAATAAAAATATAATAAACAATTAAGTCTTTGTTAATTGTTTGTATAATATATAAACAATTAACAAAGAATTAACAAAAAAATTAACAATTAATATTCTAATATAATAACAATTAACTCTTCACACTCTTAAACTTACGTGAAGTGATCAAATGGAGTGAAATGTGATAATTAACTCATGGATACTTAACGCTAATACAACTATTACAATAATGACTTTACACTTACAAAAAATGTATATGAAACGCAAGCAAAATAGAAGACAATTATCTGCTTATCTTATATTTATAATTATTATAATTATATTATAATTAATTTAGTATAATTATATTATAATTAATTTATTATAATTATATTTAGAATTATAAATGATAAAATATATGTATATGGTCTGACATTGTGTGAAAATGAACTTTGGATAGTTAATTTTTCAACTCCCATAACATAAAACATTGGGTAAAATTGAGAAAAAAATTTCTTTTAGATAAATATAAGAAATATTGAAAACACCAGAAAAACATAAAACATAAGAAATATTGAGAAGATTCGTGTTAGAATCATTAATCTAATTTCTGTCATATTGAACAACGTATGTATACAAGAAAGACTGCTACCAATATATATATATATATATATATATATATATATATATATATATATATATATATATATATATATATATATATATATATATATATATATATATATTAAATATGACCGAAAAAGTAAGATTAATAATTCTAACACGAATTTTCTCAATCTTTCGTACATTACGCTTCACTGTTGGAGGTAAATCAAAAATCACTTCTCCAAAATTCATTTTTATTTCTAGTCTGACGCGACACGGGCGCGTTTCGTAAAACTTATTACATTTTCAAAGACTTCACAAATACACAACTGATTAGAACTTACGTCTCTCTGATATTATATCTACATTTGAGTGAGGTGGGAAGGATGATGTGGCATTAACACAAGACAGAACAGGGGATATTAATAGGGTATTAAAAGTATCAACACAAGACAGAACAGAAAACAATGGGTATTGAATAGAAGTGTTTGTAGAAAGCCTATTGGTCCATATTTCTTGATGCTTCTATATTGGAGCGGAGTCTTGAGGTGGGTAGAATATAGTTGTGCAATAATTGGCTGTTGATTGCTGGTGTTGACTTCTTGATGTGTAGTGCCTCGCAAACGTCAAGCCGCCTGCTATCGCTGTATCTATCGATGATTTCTGTGTTGTTTATCTATCATCGATAGATACAGCGATAGCAGGCGGCTTGACGTTTGCGAGGCACTACACATCAAGAAGTCAACACCAGCAATCAACAGCCAATTATTGCACAACTATATTCTACCCACCTCAAGACTCCGCTCCAATATAGAAGCATCAAGAAATATGGACCAATAGGCTTTCTACAAACACTTCTATTCAATACCCATTGTTTTCTGTTCTGTCTTGTGTTGATACTTTTAATACCCTATTAATATCCCCTGTTCTGTCTTGTGTTAATGCCACATCATCCTTCCCACCTCACTCAAATGTAGATATAATATCAGAGAGACGTAAGTTCTAATCAGTTGTGTATTTGTGAAGTCTTTGAAAATGTAATAAGTTTTACGAAACGCGCCCGTGTCGCGTCAGACTAGAAATAAAAATGAATTTTGGAGAAGTGATTTTTGATTTACCTCCAACAGTGAAGCGTAATGTACGAAAGATTGAGAAAATTCGTGTTAGAATTATTAATCTTACTTTTTCGGTCATATTTAATAATATATGTCTACAGGAAAGACTGCTACCAAAATATACTAATATATATATATATATATATATATATATATATATATATATATATATATATATATATATATATATATATATATAGCATTTTACCAAATCACCTCATTCTTTGGGGCAAATCACCTCATTCTTTGGGTATGGGTTCGAGTCACTTCTGGGGTGTGAGTTTTCAGTTGCATATTGTCCTGGGGACCATTCAGGCTTGTTCGCATTTGTGTTCCTCACGTGTGCCCCAAAGAATGAGGTGATTTGGTAAAATGCTATGCCCAAGATTACTATCCGAGTGCCGGCGGTGGGGTGGTTCAAATAGCCTCGGCTATCACCTCATTATGTCCGGTCGTGATGGTCAAGTGGATTAAGGCGTCTTGTACATACCAGTTGCGTTGCTTCTGGGAGTATGGGTTCGAGTCACTTCTGGGGTGTGAGTTTTCAGTTGCATATTGTCCTGGGGACCATTCAGGCTTGTTCGCATTTGTGTTCCTCACGTGTGCCACAAAGAATGAGGTGATTTGGCAAAATGCTATGCCCAAGATTACTATCCGAGTGCCGGCGGTGGGGTGGTTCAAATAGCCTCGGCTATCACCTCATTATGTCCGGTCGTGATGGTCAAGTGGATTAAGGCGTCTTGTACATACCAGTTGCGTTGCTTCTGGGAGTATGGGTTCGAGTCACTTCTGGGGTGTGAGTTTTCAGTTGGATATTGTCCTGGGGACCATTCAGGCTTGTTCGCATTTGTGTTCCTCACGTGTGCCCCAAAGAATGAGGTGATTTGGTAAAATGCTATGCCCAAGATTACTATCCGAGTGCCGGCGGTGGGGTGGTTCAAATAGCCTCGGCTATCACCTCATTATGTCCGGTCGTGATGGTCAAGTGGATTAAGGCGTCTTGTACATACCAGTTGCGTTGCTTCTGGGAGTATGGGTTCGAGTCACTTCTGGGGTGTGAGTTTTCAGTTGCATATTGTCCTGGGGACCATTCAGGCTTGTTCGCATTTGTGTTCCTCACGTGTGCCCCAAAGAATGAGGTGATTTGGCAAAATGCTATGCCCAAGATTACTATCCGAGTGCCGGCGGTGGGGTGGTTCAAATAGCCTCGGCTATCACCTCATTATGTCCGGTCGTGATGGTCAAGTGGATTAAGGCGTCTTGTACATACCAGTTGCGTTGCTTCTGGGAGTATGGGTTCGAGTCACTTCTGGGGTGTGAGTTTTCAGTTGCATATTGTCCTGGGGACCATTCAGGCTTGTTCGCATTTGTGTTCCTCACGTGTGCCCCAAAGAATGAGGTGATTTGGTAAAATGCTATGCCCAAGATTACTCTCCGAGTGCCGGCGGTGGGGTGGTTCAAATAGCCTCGGCTATCACCTCATTATGTCCGGTCGTGATGGTCAAGTGGATTAAGGCGTCTTGTACATACCAGTTGCGTTGCTTCTGGGAGTATGGGTTCGAGTCACTTCTGGGGTGTGAGTTTTCAGTTGCATATTGTCCTGGGGACCATTCAGGCTTGTTCGCATTTGTGTTCCTCACGTGTGCCACAAAGAATGAGGTGATTTGGCAAAATGCTATGCCCAAGATTACTATCCGAGTGCCGGCGGTGGGGTGGTTCAAATAGCCTCGGCTATCACCTCATTATGTCCGGTCGTGATGGTCAAGTGGATTAAGGCGTCTTGTACATACCAGTTGCGTTGCTTCTGGGAGTATGGGTTCGAGTCACTTCTGGGGTGTGAGTTTTCAGTTGGATATTGTCCTGGGGACCATTCAGGCTTGTTCGCATTTGTGTTCCTCACGTGTGCCCCAAAGAATGAGGTGATTTGGTAAAATGCTATGCCCAAGATTACTATCCGAGTGCCGGCGGTGGGGTGGTTCAAATAGCCTCGGCTATCACCTCATTATGTCCGGTCGTGATGGTCAAGTGGATTAAGGCGTCTTGTACATACCAGTTGCGTTGCTTCTGGGAGTATGGGTTCGAGTCACTTCTGGGGTGTGAGTTTTCAGTTGCATATTGTCCTGGGGACCATTCAGGCTTGTTCGCATTTGTGTTCCTCACGTGTGCCCCAAAGAATGAGGTGATTTGGCAAAATGCTATGCCCAAGATTACTATCCGAGTGCCGGCGGTGGGGTGGTTCAAATAGCCTCGGCTATCACCTCATTATGTCCGGTCGTGATGGTCAAGTGGATTAAGGCGTCTTGTACATACCAGTTGCGTTGCTTCTGGGAGTATGGGTTCGAGTCACTTCTGGGGTGTGAGTTTTCAGTTGCATATTGTCCTGGGGACCATTCAGGCTTGTTCGCATTTGTGTTCCTCACGTGTGCCCCAAAGAATGAGGTGATTTGGTAAAATGCTATGCCCAAGATTACTCTCCGAGTGCCGGCGGTGGGGTGGTTCAAATAGCCTCGGCTATCACCTCATTATGTCCGGTCGTGATGGTCAAGTGGATTAAGGCGTCTTGTACATACCAGTTGCGTTGCTTCTGGGAGTATGGGTTCGAGTCACTTCTGGGGTGTGAGTTTTCAGTTGCATATTGTCCTGGGGACCATTCAGGCTTGTTCGCATTTGTGTTCCTCACGTGTGCCCCAAAGAATGAGGTGATTTGGTAAAATGCTATGCCCAAGATTACTATCCGAGTGCCGGCGGTGGGGTGGTTCAAATAGCCTCGGCTATCACCTCATTATGTCCGGTCGTGATGGTCAAGTGGATTAAGGCGTCTTGTACATACCAGTTGCGTTGCTTCTGGGAGTATGGGTTCGAGTCACTTCTGGGGTGTGAGTTTTCAGTTGCATATTGTCCTGGGGACCATTCAGGCTTGTTCGCATTTGTGTTCCTCACGTGTGCCACAAAGAATGAGGTGATTTGGCAAAATGCTATGCCCAAGATTACTATCCGAGTGCCGGCGGTGGGGTGGTTCAAATAGCCTCGGCTATCACCTCATTATGTCCGGTCGTGATGGTCAAGTGGATTAAGGCGTCTTGTACATACCAGTTGCGTTGCTTCTGGGAGTATGGGTTCGAGTCACTTCTGGGGTGTGAGTTTTCAGTTGGATATTGTCCTGGGGACCATTCAGGCTTGTTCGCATTTGTGTTCCTCACGTGTGCCCCAAAGAATGAGGTGATTTGGTAAAATGCTATGCCCAAGATTACTATCCGAGTGCCGGCGGTGGGGTGGTTCAAATAGCCTCGGCTATCACCTCATTATGTCCGGTCGTGATGGTCAAGTGGATTAAGGCGTCTTGTACATACCAGTTGCGTTGCTTCTGGGAGTATGGGTTCGAGTCACTTCTGGGGTGTGAGTTTTCAGTTGCATATTGTCCTGGGGACCATTCAGGCTTGTTCGCATTTGTGTTCCTCACGTGTGCCCCAAAGAATGAGGTGATTTGGCAAAATGCTATGCCCAAGATTACTATCCGAGTGCCGGCGGTGGGGTGGTTCAAATAGCCTCGGCTATCACCTCATTATGTCCGGTCGTGATGGTCAAGTGGATTAAGGCGTCTTGTACATACCAGTTGCGTTGCTTCTGGGAGTATGGGTTCGAGTCACTTCTGGGGTGTGAGTTTTCAGTTGCATATTGTCCTGGGGACCATTCAGGCTTGTTCGCATTTGTGTTCCTCACGTGTGCCCCAAAGAATGAGGTGATTTGGTAAAATGCTATGCCCAAGATTACTCTCCGAGTGCCGGCGGTGGGGTGGTTCAAATAGCCTCGGCTATCACCTCATTATGTCCGGTCGTGATGGTCAAGTGGATTAAGGCGTCTTGTACATACCAGTTGCGCTGCTTCTGGGAGTATGGGTTCGAGTCACTTCTGGGGTGTGAGTTTTCAGTTGCATATTGTCCTGGGGACCATTCAGGCTTGTTCGCATATATATATATATATATATATATATATATATATATATATATATATATATATATATATATATATATATATATATATATATATATATATATGTATGTATTAACACGATGTACTGAACGGGGTGAGAATAGCTTGAGCTACCTCATCCCTTTGTGTGTATTTTACATCAATAAACTTATTTCAATTTCAATTTCAATGTCCACCTCACAGTTGTCAGTGCTCCCCATGTAGGGGATTTCCTTTTTGGCAATCTCCATGTCTAAAACAGACAAATGCCTCGAGTCTCATCACCTTTGAATTGCAGGCAAACTCTGCCTTGCTGCTCCAGTTTACACTGCGCACAAGTGTATCTGCAGCGAGGCGTACGGTGACAAAAACATGGTTTGAATTGCAGAAGCTCGAAGGGATGGTATATAAGACACAATGAGATTATCACTATCATCAAGAGGAGCCTCTCCCTCACCCAGTGTCCAGCAGTAAGAGAACTCTATTTTCTAATGCCCCCTAATTCTGTCATCCCCGTTGGTGGCCTAGACGGAATGACATTACATCCATGGAAGAGCGGTAGGCAACTGGTGTGTGACTACACATGCGTAGCCACTCTTGCTGGTAACGTCGTTGACTGCAGCATACGTCAGGCAGGGGGAGCTACCACCCACAGGGAAATTGCCAATTGGACAAGTACAGGAATCTAGATCACCAATATAATTTTGTCTTTGTAGGATCTGAGACCCTGGGTCCCTACCACTTGACTTGGTGTACGTCTGGTACACTATGTCCTCGTAAACATCTGACAAACAACAAAGTATTGCAAAAAGAGTTATTCTACTGCTTATACCCTTGAATGCCTCCATGCCAGTCTACCTGCTGTACCAGTACCCACTCAGTCTACCTACTGCACCAGTACCCACTCAGTCTACCTGCTGTACCAGTACCCACTCAGTCTACCTGCTGGACTAGTGCCCACTCAGTCTACCTGCTGTACCAGTACCCACTCAGTCTACCTGCTGTACCAGTACCCACCTGCTGTACCAGTACCCACCTGCTGGACTAGTACCCACCTGCTGTACCAGTACCCACCTGCTGTACCAGTACCCACCTGCTGTACCAGTACCCACCTGCTGTACCAGTACCCACCTGCTGTACCAGTACCCACCTGCTGGACCAGTACCCACCTGCTGGACTAGTACCCACCTGCTGTACCAGTACCCACCTGCTGTACCAGTACCCACCTGCTGTACCAGTACCCACCTGCTGGACTAGTACCCACCTGCTGTACCAGTACCCACCTGCTGTTTACTGGAGACCCCCAGTCCTGGAGGGCCACCCATTACAGAACCCATTAGAGAACCAACGCCTGGATCACCACCACCACCACCACCGGGACCACCACCAGAGCCACCAGTGACCGGAACAACGCTGCCGCCGCCGCCGCTCAACGCCTCGGCAGCGTCCTCTCTTCGTTTGGTGTCCTTGAGGTGTCGCCAGAGGCGCTGCTGGTGGCGCATGACGAGGCGACTGAGGCGCGTCAGCTCGCACAAGAGGCACTTGCAGGTCTCGAACTGACACTTGTGGTTGGTCTTGCGGGAGTGGAAGCCATGGTTCTTGCAGTAGGTACAGTGCTGGCGACGCTTGCTGCCTCCCTTCTCGCCCTCGAACTGTGTGTTGTATTCTGTGGACGACAACAAGGAGACGGGAGGTGGTCAGTGTTGGCTACTTGTACACCCTGTACACCAGGCCTGGTGTACACCAGGACCCTTGTACACCCTGTACATCAGGCCTGGTGTACACCAGGACCCTTGTACACCCTGTACATCAGGCCTGGTGTACACCAGGACCCTTGTACACTCTGTACATCAGGCCTGGTGTACACCAGGACCCTTGTACACCCTGTACATCAGGCCTGGTGTACACCAGGACCCTTGTACACCCTGTACATCAGCCCTAGTGTACACCAGGACCCTTGTACACTCTGTACATCAGCCCTAGTGTACACCAGGACCCTTGTACACTCTGTACATCAGCCCTAATGTACACCAGGCCCCTTGTACACCCTGTACATCAGCCCTAGTGTACACCAGGACCCTTGTACACCCTGTACATCAGCCCTAGTGTACACCAGGCCCCTTGTACACCCTGTACATCACCCCTAGTGTACACCCTGTACACCACCCCTAGTGTACACCCTGTACACCACCCCTAGTGTACACCACTGTACACCACCCCTAGTGTACACCACTGTACACCACCCCTAGTGTACACCAGGCCCCTTGTCCACCCTGTACATCACCCCTAGTGTACACCCTGTACACCACCCCTAGTGTACACCCTGTACACCACCCCTAGTGTACACCACTGTACACCACCCCTAGTGTACACCACTGTACACCACCCCTAGTGTACACCAGGCCCCTTGTCCACCCTGTACATCAGCCCTAGTGTACACCCTGTACACCACCCCTAGTGTACACCCTGTACACCACCCCTAGTGTACACCAGGCCCCTTGTCCACCCTGTACATCAGCCCTAGTGTACACCCTGTACACCACCCCTAGTGTACACCCTGTACACCACACCTAGTGTACACCACCCCAAGTGTACACCACCCCTAGTGTACACCACTGTACACCACCCCTAGTGTACACCACTGTACACCACCCCTAGTGTACACCACTGTACACCACCCCTAGTGTACACTACTGTACACCACCCCTAGTGTACACCACTGTACACCACCCCTAGTGTACACCACTGTACACCACCCCTAGTGTACACCCTGTACATAACCCCTAGTGTACACCCTGTACACCACCCGTAGTGTACACCCTGTACACCACCCCTAGTGTACACCACTGTACACCACCCCTAGTGTACACCCTGTACACCACCCCTAGTGTACACCACTGTACACCACCCCTAGTGTACACCACCCTTAGTGTACACCACTGTACACCACCCCTAGGGTATACACCACCCCTAGGGTACACCACTGTACACCACCACTAGTGTACACCCTGTACACCACCCCTAGTGTACACCCTGTACACCACCCCTAGTGTACACCACTGTACACCACCCCTAGTGTACACCCTGTACACCACCCCTAGTGTACACCACTGTACACCACCCCTAGTGTACACCCTGTACACCACCCCTAGTGTACACCACTGTACACCACCCCTAGTGTACACCCTCCCTAGTGTACACCCTGTACACTACCCCTAGTGTACACCCTGTACACCACCCCTAGTGTACACCCTGTACACCACCCCTAGTGTACACCACTGTACACCACCCCTAGGGTACACCACTGTACACCACCCCTAGTGTACACCCTGTACACCACCCCTAGTGTACACCCTGTACACCACCCCTAGTGTACACCACTGTACACCACCCCTAGTAGTGTACACCCTGTACACCACCCCTAGTGTACACCACTGTACACCACCCCTAGTGTACACCCTGTACACTACCCCTAGTGTACACCCTGTGCACCACCCCTAGTGTACACCCTAGTGTACACCCTGTACACCACCCCTAGTGTACACTCTGTACACCACCCCTGGTGTACACAACTGCACAACAGCCAATGAATGACAGTTTTATCATTATTTACACTCAGGTGATGTTGTCAGGGTGGAGATGGCGCCCCCAGACACGGCTCATAGATGGCCCGTCCCGGGGGGGGGGGGGGGGAGGGGAGTGGTGCAAGAGTAAGAGCAGAGAGACGGTGCAAGAGAAGAGCAGAGAGACGGTGCAAGAGTAAGAGCAGGGAGACGGTGCAAGAGTAAGAGCAGAGAGACGGTGCAAGAGTAAGAGCAGAGAGACGGTGCAAGAGTAAGAGCAGAGAGACGGTGCAAGAGTAAGAGCAGAGACACGGTGCAAGAGTAAGAGCAGGGAGACGGTGCAAGAGTAAGAGCAGAGAGACGGTGCAAGAGTAAGAGCAGGGGAGGGAACGGTGCAAGAGTAAGAGCAGGGGGACGGTGCAAGAGTAAGAGCAGAGAGACGGTGCAAGAGTAAGAGCAGAGAGACGGTGCAAGAGTAAGAGCAGAGAGACGGTGCAAGAGTAAGAGCAGGGAGACGGTGCAAGAGTAAGAGCAGGGAGACGGTGCAAGAGTAAGAGCAGAGAGACGGTGCAAGAGTAAGAGCAGAGAGACGGTGCAAGAGTAAGAGCAGGGAGACGGTGCAAGAGTAAGAGCAGAGAGACGGTGCAAGAGTAAGATCAGAGAGACGGTGCAAGAGTAAGAGCAGGGAGACGGTGCAAGAGTAAGAGCAGAGAGACGGTGCAAGAGTAAGAGCAGAGGAAGACGGTGCAAGAGTAAGAGCAGAGGAAGATGGTGCAAGAGTAAGAGCAGAGGAAGACGGTGCAAGAGTAAGAGCAGAGGAAGATGGTGCAAGAGTAAGAGCAGAGGAAGACGGTGCTAGAGTAAGAGCAGAGGAAGACGGTGCAAGAGTAAGAGCAGAGAGACGGTGCAAGAGTAAGAGCAGAGAGACGGTACAAGAGTAAGAGCAGGGAGACGGTGCAAGAGTAAGAGCAGAGAGACCGTACAAGAGTAAGAGCAGAGAGACCGTACAAGAGTAAGAGCAGAGAGACCGTACAAGAGTAAGAGCAGAGAGACCGTACAAGAGTAAGAGCAGAGAGACCGTACAAGAGTAAGAGCAGGGGAAGACGGTGCAAGAGTAAGAGCAGGGGAAGACGGTGCAAGAGTAAGAGCAGAGAGACGGTGCAAGAGTAAGAGTAGGGGAAGACGGTGCAAGAGTAAGAGCAGGGGAACGGTGCAAGAGTAAGAGCAGAGAGACCGTACAAGAGTAAGAGCAGAGAGACGGTGCAAGAGTAAGAGCAGAGAGACGGTGCAAGAGTAAGAGCAGAGAGACCGTACAAGAGTAAGAGCAGAGAGACGGTACAAGAGTAAGAGCAGAGAGACGGTACAAGAGTAAGAGCAGAGAGACGGTACAAGAGTAAGAGCAGAGAGACGGTACAAGAGTAAGAGCAGGGGAAGACGGTGCAAGAGAGAGAGAGAGAGAGGGGCCACTAGGGGTGGTGGCCCCAGAGGTGGCAGATGGCGGGAGGTGGTGGTAGGGGGCGCTGGTGGGCGGGCGGGCGGGCGTCGATGGCGGATCAGAAGACACCGACCTGTAACCCTGGCCGGCCACGACCTGGCTCCTCCCCCACCCTTATGGACCCGCCAGTCTCTTACCTTCTCCACACTGTAAATTATGCGGTGCTAGAAGCCCTCATTTATCTGGCTCACGGCAATAGAATCTAAAGAGGTTCCTTTTCTCGAGAACAATTCCTTTTTACTTGTCTCGCTTCAAGAGCGCGGTGCATCACAGCTGGCTAAATCACCGTGCATGAGAATGGCGGCAGAGAGCATGCTGGGTAATGACCTGCCTTTACTGGAAGCCTTAACTCAGCGTACGCTAGTTACAGCACCCGTTACCGTCGGTGGGAAGGAGTCTTAATTCCACTCTCTTGATTGTGGGTCCACAGTTGCCAGTGGTCTGGTCTTGGCTTCACCTTGGGTCTAGTGTTGGTCAGGCCTCACCTTGGGTCTGGTGTTGGTCAGGCTTCACCTTGGGTCTGGTGTTGGTCAGGCCTCATCTTGGGTCTGGTGTTGGTCAGGCTTCACCTTGGGTCTGGTGTTGGTCAGGCCTCACCTTGGGTCTGGTGTTGGTCAGGCCTCATCTTGGGTCTGGTGTTGGTCAGGCCTCACCTTGGGTCTGGTGTTGGTCAGGCTTCACCTTGGGTCTGGTGTTGGTCAGGCTTCACCTTGGGTCTGGTGTTGGTCAGGCCTCATCTTGGGTCTGGTGTTGGTCAGGCTTCACCTTGGGTCTGGTGTTGGTCAGGCCTCACCTTGGGTCTGGTGTTGGTCAGGCCTCATCTTGGGTCTGGTGTTGGTCAGGCCTCACCTTGGGTCTGGTGTTGGTCAGGCTTCACCTTGGGTCTGGTGTTGGTCAGGCTTCACCTTGGGTCTGGTGTTGGTCAGGCCTCATCTTGGGTCTGGTGTTGGTCAGGCCTCACCTTGGGTCTGGTGTTGGTCAGGCCTCATCTTGGGTCTGGTGTTGGTCAGGCTTCACCTTGGGTCTGGTGTTGGTCAGGCCTCACCTTGGGTCTGGTGTTGGTCAGGCTTCACCTTGGGTCTGGTGTTGGTCAGGCTTCACCTTGGGTCTGGTGTTGGTCAGGCCTCATCTTGGGTCTGGTGTTGGTCAGGCCTCACCTTGGGTCTGGTGTTGGTCAGGCCTCATCTTGGGTCTGGTGTTGGTCAGGCTTCACCTTGGGTCTGGTGTTGGTCAGGCTTCACCTTGGGTCTGGCGTTGGTCAGGCCTCACCTTGGGTCTGGTGTTGGTCAGGCTTCACCTTGGGTCTGGCGTTGGTCAGGCCTCACCTTGGGTCTGGTGTTGGTCAGGCTTCACCTTGGGTCTGGCGTTGGTCAGGCCTCACCTTGGGTCTGGTGTTGGTCAGGCTTCACCTTGGGTCTGGTGTTGGTCAGGCTTCACCTTGGGTCTGGCCCTGGTATTGGTGGATGAGGCTTCACCTTGGGTGTGTTTGTGGTGACGGTGAGTGAGGCTTGGGGTCCAAATACACGACCTTCACCTTTGTTCACTCCGGGCAAGTGTTCACCTCTGTTCACTCCGGGCAAGTGTTCACCTCTGTTCACTCAGTTAGTT